GTTTTCATGATCCTTTATTGGAATGCACTTTTGCTTGAGTACTTTTGTGCATGCTTTTCAACTTTTACTCATGTGCGTATCTTTTCTAGCGATTGTTTTTGTGCACGTTCTTGATGCACATTCACGTCCTTGAATTGTTGTACGTATTTTCATGAGCGCTTTTGTTATCCAATTTTGACCATGTTCGAGTCCGAATTTGGAATTTCGACGTTAGACGGGAATTGTAGCCCACTGAAATAGCTTTCTAATGCCACCGGAACCAGTCGATTTGGAGCCTGGATGAGAGAGTTATGCTTGACTTCGTGGACACTACCAAAGATGTTGAGGGATTCTCTCTTCTAATTTGATTTTACTCTCTTAATTGCAACTCTTTTCTTACCCTTTGATCATTTTTGCTTCCTGGACACCTAATTTTCGATTTGTACCTAAAAGATACCAAATCTACCAATAAAAACAGAAATATTAATTTATCCTAACAAAAATCCACGTAAACGTAAACGGCGAGTATTATTACTACACTCCATTGTATCTTTTTTATCGAGTGTTTTTGTTGTTGTCTGTTGATGCGTATTAAAGTCATAGTATTGTAGTTCGTGTTTTTAAGAATATTGCTTCCGATGCACTTTTGCGCATGTAGTTTTACATGTACGTTTTTGTGCATGTCCATTTGAGGGAGCGTGTTTGTGCATGTTTGTTGATTTGTATTAATGTCCTGGGATTGTAGTTTGTGTTTTCATGACCCTTATTTGGAATGCTCTTTTGCTTGAGTACTTTTGTGCATGCTTTTGAAGTTTTACTTATGTGCGTATCTTTTCTAGCGAGTGTTTTTGTGCACGTTTCTTGATGCGCATTCACGTCCTTGAATTGTAGTACATATTTTTATGATCGCTTTTGTTATCCAATTTTTACCATGTTCGAGTCCGAATTTGGAATTTTGACGTTAGACGGGAAATGTAGCCCACTGAAATAGCTTTCTGATGCCACCGGAACCAGTCGATTTGGAGCCCGGATGAGAGAGTTATGCTCGACTTCGTGGACACTACCAAAGATGTTGAGGGATTCTCTCTTCTAATTTGATTTTATTTTCTTAATTGCAATTCTTTTCTTACCCTGTGATCATTTTTGCTTCCTGGACACCTAATTTTCGATTTGTACCTAAAAGATACCAAATCTACCAATAAAAACAGAAATATTAATTTATCCAAACAAAAATCCACGCAAACGTAAACGTCAAGTATTATTGCTACACTCCACTGTATCTTTTTTATCGAGTGTTTTTGCTGTTGTCTGTTGATGCGTATTAAAGTCATAGTATTGTAGCTCGTGTTTTTAAGAATATTGCTTCGGATGCACTTTTGCGCATGTAGTTTTACATGTACGTTTTTGTGCATGTCCATTTGAGGGAGCGTGTTTGTGCATGTTTGTTGATTTGTATTAATGTCCTGGGATTGTAGTTTGTGTTTTCATGATCCTTTTTGGAATGCACTTTTGCTTGACTACTTTTGTGCATGGTTTTGAAGTTTTACTCATGTGCGTATCTTTTCTAGCGAGTGTTTTTGTGCACGTTTCTTGATGCGCATTCACGTCCTTGAATTGTAGTACGTATTTTAATGATCGCTTTTGTTATCCAATTTTGACCATGTTCGAGTCCGAATTTGGAATTTTGATGTTAGACGGGATTTGTAGCCCACTGAAATAGCTTTCTGATGCCAGCGGAACCAGTCGATTTGGAGCCCGGATGAGAGACTTATGCTCGACTTCGTGGACACTACCAAAGATGTTGAGGGATTCTCTCTTCTTATTTGATTTTATTTTCTTAATTCCAACTCTTTTCTTACCCTTTGATCATTTTTGCTTCCTGGACACCTAATTTTCGATTTGTACCTAAAAGATACCAAATCCACCAATAAAAACAAAAATATAAATTAATCCAAACAAAAATCCACGTAAACGAAAACGTCGAGTATTATTACTACACTCCATTGTATCTTTTTTATCTAGTGTTTTTGCTGTTGTCTGTTGATGCGTATTAAAGTCATAGTATTGTAGTTCGTGTTTTTAAGAAGATTGCTTAGGATGCACTTTTGCGCATGTAGTTTTACATGTACGTTTTTGTGCATGTCCATTTGAGGGAGCGTGTTTGTGCATGTTTGTTGATTTGTATTAATGTCCTGGGATTGTAGTTTGTGTTTTCATGATCCTTTTTTGGAATGCTCTTTTGCTTGAGTACTTTTGTGCATGCTTTTGAACTTTTACTCATGTGCGTATCTTTTCTAGCGAGTGTTTTTGTGCACGTTTCTTGATGCGCATTCACGTCCTTGAATTGTAGTACATATTTTCATGATCGGTTTTGTTATCCAATTTTGACCATGTTCGAGTCCGAATTTGGAATTTAGTAAATGGTAGATTATATAATTCTTTCTTTTAAAAATAAACTAAAATTAAAATAATAATAATAATAATAAAAAATTGGTAGATAATCCTTTAATCCAGGTACTCACGGCATGTTCTTAATTGTTTGTTTAATTTGGTTCTAATGAGAAAAAAAAAAATGAATGCAAATTCACAAACATCAGGAAATGAAAAAGCAATATAATGTAGAAGAGATATAATTCATGTATTTTTTTTCTTTGATTTAAAGAATCGGGTATTTTGTACAAGTATGTATGTATAAAGCTAATCTACAAAATTTTGATCCCACAATGAATCTAAAGTCTAGTGGTGAAGAATGTTTAGCAGGAAAACTCTGGTTTTGATCAACTGTCTGAACAAGCACTCTATCTCCTCTTCAAGAATTTGAATTATCGAGTCCATCTCTTTCAACTCATTCAAATCCGTTTCTTCACTTTGATTCGATACTTTCTTTGATGGCAATATTTTCGACACCAGCGACCATGTGCTCGATTTGGGTTGCACATTGTTCCCGATGACATATGATAACAAGCCTTCAAAGACAGCAATAGTAACTGATTTTGCTTCTTTCAACATACATACAAGAGCCGTTGTTTCATCGTCTTTATCCAAGGATGAAACATTTTTCTTACATCTGAGGCTCTTTAAATCTTTCAAAGACTTGAGGATCATCTTCTTTGACTTCTTTTTGGAGATGTGATAGTTATTGATGCCATTCACATCATTTCTCCTTAGAGCAGAAAGTAGCTCTTGTACTTGTTGTCTGATTTGCGAGAATAGATCTTTGGCTGTGGTGCATGCATCCAATAGCCTGATGTAACCATCCAATACTTGATCAATCCATTTTGTCTGACACTCTTGTGAAATAATCTGTTGAATGTGAGGCAGCATGAGTAGATCGTCTATGTTGGAGTACAAGTTTCCGAGGCCATTTAGTTTTGCCTCCATTGTCATAGAAGCTTCCATTTTGGCCAAGTTTTCATTGAAGTGACAAATGGAAGGGTGTGATTGAGATGGGAAACTAAGAGAGCGACCATGGTGAAGGGCTTTTGATCTCAATGCCATTTTTTTTTTTTAATTTGGATGAATTGAGGCTTTGAAATAGGAAATGTTGAATGAAGAAATTTTTTTGTGACTGAATTGATGCATTTGGTGTGTATATATATAGTGTGTAGATGAAGGGGACAAAAAGAATCATAATATGGGGTATTCGAAGCACCAGCAATGTGATATTGATGAGATCTGGATTCACTAATATTCTGCCGATGTTTGTGCTATGTTGTTCCCCATGTGTTAATTATGTATTAATTAGGACATGAGTATTCTGATGGATGACTCGATTATTAATCGCTGCACGAATGCCCTAATAATTTTAGAGAGTTTGTATCGGTTGTGATGTCTCGGCGCCTCTTGTGGAACGGATTATACGGTGGGTGAAGGTGCCAACTACATGGATATTGATGAATCTTTGATTCTTCATCCTCAGACAAGATAATTATACTAGTAATATTTATCTGGCCTTATGTTCCTTCTTCCTAAAACAGAAGCTGAAATCATCTCGTGCATTACATAAAAAAAAAAAAAAAGAATTGTGTTGTTGTAAATCACCATAATTGCATTTGATGGCATATTTGATCTGTCAATATTGTAATTAATTTGAGGTGGCATTTCCATGTTCGAAGGGGGCAGGTCACCAGCTGCACTCGTGCATACAATTTGATTAATTTGGCTGTTGCATTACTCAAAAGCCTTTAGATATAAAATAGAAATGTTTCATGATGGTAAGAAACATTAATACGGAAACATCGCCATAGTATCATATGCAAAAGCATGCGTGACACTTGTTTATTTATTACAACACCTTCTCCCCTTTATATACCAACACAAAATTGACAGACGAAGCAAAAGAGAGCCACAAGTTTGATGATTTAGAAGGCCCTATTATAGCATTAATTAATAAGCATGGCTATATACATACATGTGTTGGGAAATTAATAAATAATATCAGCACATTGGCAAGAAAGGAGCGAAATTGTCAAGCCAGGGGCTGAATTGTGTCCAGAAAGAGTCTTGAGTCCAGTCCGTGTTGAATTTAGGAACTTGTAGCTCTGCTATATTATCGCTTCCGTTGGGCAAAACGATGCTAGAGCAACCCTTCACTTTACTACTCTCCTTCACATGCAATAAGATTTCCTCATTTTCTTTCTTTAGTACTTGAATGTTGTTTATTTCCTCAAATTGGTTGCAAAAGGAGAGCATGCAATCCATTGGTGAAGGAGATAACGATGAACAATTAGTGTCCGACTTAGTTTCGTCATCTTCTTCAACTGCAGCCCTATACTCCAACACCTTCAAAGAGGTTGCCTTTCTATATATCTTACACAACACTATGTCCTGCATATATATATATATATATTATCAAACATATGTATGTCTCTTTTAAACGAAGAAGAAGAAGAAGAAGAAGAAAAATCGCACATGTAATATAGTAAAATACGATGAGATGTACCTTGGGAGGGGAGCATTTGTCGGGCAAGCGAAACTCGTTCATGACCCAATCAGTCTTTGTTCCACGTGGTGCTCTGCCCTCATAGAAAACAAGTGTTTTCTTCAGACCTAACACCTTTTTGGGATCCGATGTTGTATGTATTTGACGGTCCGACCCGGTTGCCTTCCAGAACCCGTTTTCAGTAGTACGGTTCGGTCTTCCTCCGCTGCCATGTTTTCTGTCCCTCGGCACGAAAAAGTACCACATCCGGAAACCCGGTTCGTTTCTTCTTCGATCAAGCTCGGCATTTTCGATTCACAAACCTAACCAAAAAAAATAATATATAAATAGTAGTTTAATTAATAAAATAAATAAATAATATATATATATATATATATATATATATATATATATATATATATATATATATATATATATATATAAATACCTTTCTAGAAACAGTGCCAGCCAGCTTCATTACAAAGAGCCTTAAGAACATCGTTTGAATCAGCATGCTCTGGAAGATGGTAGTTACCATGGGCCCGTAAGCACGAAAATATTTTATGGGCCACAGATCTCCTCCTCGATTCTCGCTGCTTGTTGTTCAGACGCTCCTTGGCTGAACGAAAACGTAGCTTTGTCACTAAACCGCCGATTTTGGTCGGCCGGCGAACTAACCACGGCCCTTTGCTTGTTTTGATGCATGCTCTTAGCACACCACCATTGCTGTTTTTCCCTTGCTCCATATATAATTATCCTCTGAGTTTTTTTTTTTCTAGGGTTTCAAACTTGGCATGGGAGTACTTACTGTTTATATAGAAGATGAGGACAGAAGTGGAAGAAAACATTAAGGAGTTGTGATATTCCTTTTGGCTTTCATGCTTTTTTTCGGACAGAGAAAAAGGAAAAAGGAAAAAACTAGAGGACGACGTCGTACTATGAGATATTCCCTCCCCTTTAATCTGGTGTGTCTTCTTACACCACTGTTTGACTTTTATCTCTTTTGCTTTTTTTTTCTCTCTCTCTCTTACTTTCTCTCTCTCTAGTTTTTGGGTTTGGAGTGGAAAAAGTAATTTGGAGGGATTTCAAATTAAAAACTATTTTATGAAAAAAGATTTGAAAAAGTGAGAATATTTTTTTTAACTGGGGCTCAAGCATGCATATATCAGAATTATGGGAGCGAATAGAAGGTGATATATCAGAATATATCAGAATTTGACACATGGTGCCATGTGTCAAACTGAGCTCGTTCAAGTACAGAAATGAGAAAAACATGGGGCCCAGCTGTACAATCCGGTCTGGGGTGAGGGTGGGGTGTTTTGGGGTTGGGGTGGGGTGGGGTGGGGTGGAGGGTTTTTGGGTTTGGAGTGGAAAAAGTAATTTGGAGAAAATCCACCCTACTTGGATTTTTGGGTTTGGAGTGGAAAAAGTAATTTGGAGTACATTACTAAAATTCCCCTAAACTTAGGCTAAATAACGAAAAAACCCCCACCTATCCGTAATAACTAAAATCCCCCTTTGATTACCTGTTGATCGAGTTTTTTAACAGAAAATGTGTACAGTCTACTATGCCTTTTGTTAAATAGGTGAGAAATAAAAGAAAATATCTAAAATTGTGTAAAGTCTATTCCCCGGGAACAACATTTTTTTCGTGAAAGTCACACTGTAAGAGATTGGTGTAAGACGCAAACACCTCTCAAGGAATTTTTGATAATTATGAATATTTGACGTTAGACGGGAATTGTAGCCCACTGAAATAGCTTTCTAATGCCACCGGAACTAGTCGACTTGGAGCCCGGATGAGAGAGTTATGCTCGACTTCGTGGACCCTACCAAAGATGTTGAGGGATTCTCTCTTCTAATTTGTTTTTATTTTCTTAATTGCAACTCTTTTCTTACCCTTTGATCATTTTTGCTTCCTGGACACCTAATTTTAGATTTGTACCTAAAAGATACCAAATCCACCAATAAAAACAGAAATATAAATTAATCCAAACAAAAATCTACGTAAACGTAAACGTCGAGTATTATTGCTACACTCGACTGTATCTTTTTTTTCTAGTGTTTTTGTTGTTGTCTGTTGATGCGTATTAAAGTCATTGTATTGTAGTTCGTGTTTTTAAGAACGTTGTTTCGGATGCACTTGTGCGCATGTTTTTTTACAAGTACGTTTTTGTGCATGTCCATTTGAGGGAGCGTGTTTGTGCATGTTTGTTGATTTGTATTAATGTCCTGGGATTGTAGTTTGTGTTTTCATGATCCTTTTTGGGAATGCACTTTTGATTGAGTACTTTTGTGCATTGTTTTGAACTTTTACTCATGTGCGTATCTTTTCTAGAGAGTATTTTTGTGCACGTTTCTTGATGCGCATTCACGTCCTTGAATTGTAGTACGTATTTTCATGATCGCTTTTGTTATCCAATTTTTACAATGTAGGAGTGCGAATTTGGAAGTTTGACGTTAGACGGGAATTGTAGCCTACTGAATTAGCTGTCTAATGACACCGGAACCAGTCGATTTGGAGTCCGGATGAGAGAGTTATGCTCGACTTCGTGGACACTACCAAAGATGTTGAGGGATTCTATCTTCTAATTAGATTTTATTTTCTTAATAGCAACTCTTTTCTTACCCTTTGATCATTTTTGCTTCCTGGACACCTAATTTTCGAGTTGTACCTAAAAGATACCAAATCCACCAATAAAAACAGAAATATAAATTAATCCCAACTAAAATCCAAGTAAACGTAAACGTCGAGTATTATTGCTACACTCCATTGTATCTTTTTTATCTACTGTTTTTCCTGTTGTCTGTTGAAGCGTATTAAAGTCATAGTATTGTAGTTCGTGTTTTTAAGAAGATTGCTTCGGACGCACTTTTGCGCATGTAGTTTTACATGTACGTTTTTGTGCATGTCCATTTGAGGGAGCGTGTTTGTGCATGGTTGTTGATTTGTATTAATGTCCTGGGATTGTAGTTTGTGTTTTCATGATCCTTTTTTGGAATGCACTTTTGCTTGAGTACTTTTGGGCATGCTTTTGAAGTTTTACTCATGTGCGTATCTTTTCTAGCGAGTGTTTTTGTGCAAGTTTCTTGATGCGCATTAACGTCCTTGAATTGTAGTGCGTATTTTCATGATCGGTTCTGTTATCCAATTTTGACCATGTTCGAGTCCGAATTTGGAATTTTGACGTTAGACGGGAATTGTAGCCCACTGAAATAGCTTTCTAATGCCACCGGAACTAGTCGACTTGGAGCCCGGATGAGAGAGTTATGCTCGACTTCGTGGACCCTACCAAAGATGTTGAGGGATTCTCTCTTCTAATTTGATTTTATTTTCTTAATTGCAACTCTTTTCTTACCCTTTGATCATTTTTGCTTCCTGGACACCTAATTTTCGATTTGTACCTACAAGATACCAAATCCACCAATAAAAACAGAAATATAAATTAATCCAAACAAAAATCTACGTAAACGTAACTGTCGAGTATTATTGCTACACTCCCTTGTATCTTTTTTATCTAGTGTTTTTGTTGTTGTCTGTTGATGCGTATTAAAGTCATTGTATTTTAGTTCGTGTTTTTAAGAACGTTGTTTTTGATGCACTTTTGTGCATGTTTTTTTACAAGTACGTTTTTGTGCATGTCCATTTGAGGGAGCGTGTTTGTGCATGTTTGTTGATTTGTATTAATGTCCTGGGATTGTAGTTTGTGTTTTCATGATCCTTTTTGGGAATGCACTTTTGCTTGAGTACTTTTGTGCATTGTTTTGAACTTTTACTCATGTGCGTATCTTTTCTAGCGAGTATTTTTGTGCACGTTTCTTGATGCGCATTCACGTCCTTTAATTGTAGTACGTATTTTCATGATCGCTTTTGTTATCCAATTTTTACCATGTTCGAGTGCGAATTTGGAAGTTTGACGTTAGACGGGAATTGAAGCCCACTTAATTAGCTGTCTAATGACACCGGAACCAGTCGATTTGGAGTCCGGATGAGAGAGTTATGCTCGACTTCGTGGACACTACCAAAGATGTTGAGGGATTCTCTCTTCTAATTTGATTTTATTTTCTTAATAGCAACTCTTTTCTTACCCTTTGATCATTTTTGCTTCCTGGACACCTAAATTTCGATTTGTACCTAAAAGATACCAAATCCACCAATAAAAACCGAACTATAAATTAATCCCAACAAAAATCCACGTAAACGTAAACGTCGAGTATTATTGCTACACTCCATTGTATCTTTTTTATCTACTGTTTTTCTTGTTGTCTGTTGAAGCGTATTAAAGTCATAGTATTGTAGTTCGTGTTTTTAAGAAGATTGCTTCGGACGCACTTTTGCGCATGTAGTTTTACATGTACGTTTTTGTGCATGTCCATTTGAGGGAGCGTGTTTGTGCATGTTTGTTGATTTGTATTAATGTCCTGGGATTGTAGTTTGTGTTTTCATGATCCTTTTTTGGAATGCACTTTTGCTTGAGTACTTTTGTGCATGCTTTTGAAGTTTTACTCATGTGCGTATCTTTTCTAGCGAGTGTTTTTGTGCACGTTTCTTGATGCGCATTCACGTCCTTGAATTGTAGTACGTATTTTCATGATCGCTTTTGTTATCCAATTTTTACCATGTTCGAGTGCGAATTTGGATGTTTGACGTTAGACTGGAATTGTAGCCCACTGAATTAGCTGTCTAATGACACCGGAACCAGTCGATTTGGAGTCCGGATGAGAGAGTTATGCTCGACTTCGTGGACACTACCAAAGATGTTGAGGGATTCTCTCTTCTAATTTTATTTTATTTTCTTAATTGCAACTCTTTTCTTACCCTGTGATCATTTTTGCTTCCTGGACACCTAATTTTCGATTTGTACCTAAAAGATACCAAATCTACCAATAAAAACAGAAATATTAATTTATCCAAACAAAAATCCACGCAAACGTAAACGTCGAGTATTATTGCTACACACCACTGTATCTTTTTTATCTAGTGTTTTTGCTGTTGTCTGTTGATGCGTATTAAAGTCATAGTATTGTAGTTCGTGTTTTTAAGAATATTGCTTCGGATGCACTTTTGCGCATGTAGTTTTACATATATGTTTTTGTGCATGTCCATTTGAGGGAGCGTGTTTGTGCATGTTTGTTGATTTGTATTAATGTCCTGGGATTGTAGTTTGTGTTTTCATGATCCTTTTAGGGAATGCACTTTTGCTTGAGTACTTTTGTGCATGCTTTTGAACTTTCACTCATGTGCGTATCCTTTCTAGCGAGTGTTT